TCTCTCTCTCTCTCTCTCTCTCTCTCTCTCTCTCTCTCTCTCTCTCTCTCTCTCTCTCTCTCTCTCTCTCTCTCTCTCTCTCTCTCTCTCGGGGTTGGCATTCACGTGGGATGGGTTTATGGGGAGGGGTCTCTCTCTCTCTCTCTCTCTCTCTCTCTCTCTCTCTCTCTCTCTCTCTCTCTCTCTCCTGCCCGAAGTTCGCAGGTACACGTGCGCAGGAAAAAACAACAACGAAGAAGGCGAAGAAAAGGAGACGAGGAAGGAGACGAGGAAGGAGACGAGGAAGAAGACGAAGTGGTGGAGAGGAGGAAGAAGACGAACGACGAGAGGAGGAAGAAGACAAGAAGGAAGAAGACTAGAAGGAAGGAGCCAGAAGAGGAGGAGGGGGAGAACAGAAGAAGAGTGAAAGAAGTCGAAGAAGAAGCAGAAAAAGAGGAGGAGAAGAAGAGTATAAGATGAGGAGTGGATGAAGAAGAAGAAGGAGAACAGGAGCCGAGGAAGCAGAAGGTGAGGAGTGGTAGAAAAAGAAGAAGAAAAGAAAACTTGAGGAACAAGAAAAGAAGAAGAAAACAAGAAGAGGAAGAAAACAAGCTGAAGGAGAAGAAACAAAGAAAAAGGAGACGGACAAGAAGAAGAAGAAGAAGAAGAAGAAGAAGGTGGAGAGGGGAGGGCAGAACAAGCTCACAAACATTCTTGGCAGGGGGCACGATGGCAGGATGGCGCAGCTGGCTGGTAGAGAAAAGGTTAACCGACCTCCCATTTTTCACCTCAATTTATAAGAAAACCATAAGGCACTCTAATAACCCAAATGACACACAGCAAGCTTGTCCCAAAACAAAAACAGGCAAAAAAAAAAAATTCCAAAAAAACACAAAATTTGACCCCGAAACCCTAATTTCAGGATCATTCATCGTTACCCAGGGCCGAAAAGTGGGGGTCCCCGTTAACCACTTGTGGGCTGGTAGCGGTGATGGCGCTGTGATGGCATGGCTCAGTGGCAGGGGGTGTGATGGCTGCCTCGTCTTGGCAGTTGTCGCTTGTGCAGCTCCAACGCTCGAGGGGCGGCCTCGGTCTGTTGGGGTTCGACTGGGGTTGAGCACGCGATGTGTTCTCCCCCGTTGCTAGTTCGAAAAGCAGGAGTTCCCGCTTGAATGGAATCGAAGAAGCAGCCGATCTTGGCCACTGATCTGCAACAATCGGTGGTCAAGATCAGCCACCTCTTTTCCTCGAAAACGACGGGCCTACAGGAATCGGTTTTGCTACTGTGGGGCGGAAGCTGCCTCCGCGAGACCGCCAAGATCGAACTGGGCTTTCAAAAACAATTTTTGGGCCCCCAACGAAAATGTGCTGGAGGCGACCGGGAGCCAACTGGCATGGCCCACCAGCCGGTCCAACTGGGAGGCTCCCAGTCAGGGGAGTGGTCCCCAGTCCATCTGGGTACCGGCCCTGACTCGAAGAGATAAGGCGGTCTGATGTGTCAGTTGTTCTTGCATGTGAGTATATGCTGTAACAATTGCTCTCGGCAGGCTTGAAGCATGAGAGCGTGGAAGTGCCGTGGCACTTGTGCGCCAGATGTGTGTGAGCTGCGCTAGGCTGTGAGCAGCGCTAAGTAAGAGAGAAGTGGGGCGCTGACTGAAGGAAGGCAGCCATAGCTGCGCCAGCGCCAAATAGTACATTAGGGATAGTTAATAGGATAGACCAGTGAGAAGTATTCAGAGTGGATCCTCGTGTGATAGGGAGGGTGCATGCATGGAGAGTGTGAGTAGACCAGGACTATATATATATAGAGAGAGAGAGAGAAGAAAGACGAGGAGAGAGAAGAGAGCTAAGGTGTAACTTACCTGCTGAGCGCCGTTCTTGATGATTGGCTGCTGGCGCTGATGAGCGCCAGGCCTAGAACTCTTGTTGGATAAAGAAGACTTGAATTCTGCTGGGCGCTATACATTTTGAATTCGTGACTCTCTTTCTTTAATCTGGTTATGATAATTGAGTTGTGCTTCCTGGTTTCCACTCATCTTTCTATGAAATCCGTGTGAGACATTGCAATCTGTGTGAACTGTGTTAAAGGCATGCTATCTGGTACACTCCAGCAAGTGACGGAAAGACAGGCTCCTTGCATGGGAGTGGGGGGGTGATATTTCAGGGGTTGGGGGTTGGGGAGGGGTATGGTGGGGGTGTTAGTGGTGGAGTTGCAGCAAGCACGGTCTTTAGCAGATATGGAGAACAACGTACCTGGCTTTCAGCAAACGTGGGCATACATGTACCTGCAGCATTATCAAACATGAAGAAACCCATACCTCAAGAAAAGCAAACATGAGCGAACATGGAGATTGTCATACATGCTGGCATTGCAATGAACACACGGAGAAGTAGTAGTAGAAGAAGAAGAAGAAGAAGAAGAAGAGGTGAATGAAGAAGATGACAAGCAGTGAACTTGTTTTGGGGTCATCAGTTCTGTTCAGAAATTCGAGCACCTCTCTCTCTCTCTCACACACACACTCTTTCTCTCTCTCCGTCTCTCTTTCTCTCTCTCTCTCTCTCTCTCTCTCTCTCTCTCTCTCTCTCTCTCTCTCTCTCTCTCTCTCTCTCTNCTGTGTAGATGTAGGGATTCGATCTCTAGGTCTGTTGAGTAGGGGTCACAGCTCTGTAGAGGTCGTAGCCGTAGGTATTCTGAAAGGTCAAGGTCGTAGCTGCTACAGTCCTGAAAGGTCAAGGTCGTAGCTGCTACCTGTCTCTTATACACATCTAGATGTGTATAAGGCGCGCGCGCGCGCGCGCGCGCGCGCTCTTAGTAGTAGTAGTAGTAGTAGTAGTACTAGTAAACGAAGAAGAAGAAGAAGAAGAAGAAGAAGAATCTCTCTCTCTCTCTCTCTCTCTCTCTCTCTCTCTCTCTCTCTCTCTCTCTCTCTCTCTTTCAGTGGGAACTTACCTGTCATGCTATAGGACTGGCAGAGCAATGACGTGATCACGCACGCAGTGGCGCGCAGGCTGCTGCTCGCAATGGCGCGCGGCTTCCTTGCAAGCAGATGCAGGCGATGGCACGCGAGCAGCTTCATGCGCAGGTCGGGCGAAGTGCCGGCATGCTCGACTGGGAGAGCCGTGGGGTCGACAGGAGGGACCTGGGGTAGGGAACTGGGGCAGGGGGCGGGTTGCCTAGCTCAACCACAACACCCTACATGCACCTTTCTGTGATTGCGGGCGAAGTGCATGTAGAGTGTTGTGTGGTGTGGCAAGGCCGCAACACAACATTTGATTTGGGCGGGCGATCTGTGCTGCCGATCTCTTGAGATCGGCGGTCCAGATCGCCTGCCCTTTTCAAGCGTTGTGGGCGGGCCTACCAGATTGGGTTTTCATTTGTTTTCCTTCCTGAGGACTTCTTGAAAAGGTAGGCCCACCCACAACGCTTGAAAAGGGCGGGCCTACCAGATTGGGCGGGCCTACCAGATCTGGTAGGCCCGCCCACAATGCTTGAAAAGGGCAGGCGATTTCTTTTCCTTCTTGTGGGCGGGCCTACCAGATCGCCTGCCCTTTTCAAGCGTTGTGGGCGGGCCTAAATATCCATGTGTGGTGTGCTCTTCTCCCATGGGTTGGCATGGTGACCATGACCCGTGCTTTGACCAGGGCCCTTCAGAGACACCGCCCTCTCCTGCCAGATGCGCCACCGGGAAGAATGTTGACTCTCAAGGTAGAGCGCTCACGACTCCTGAAGAGGAAGAGGACACTCAAGTTGAACTCACTTCCTTACGGTAAGAAGAGATTGAGATGGGAAGATAAGGTAAGGGAACAACGTACCTGAAGATAGCTGCCCCCAACCACAGATTTCTCACCAATTGAGTCGACGTGCATTTTGATGACCGGTCATAGCCTTGGTACCACGAACAATGCAATGCAGTGCCACCTCAGCCAGAATGCAATGTCAGCATTCTCATCATCCCACAGACACCTGCTGTCGCCACAGACTTCCTGCCAGACTCTCCTCTACCTGGGAGTGGCTTCACAAGCCAGCGCCAGTGTATCCTTACTGCGTAGAAGCTTCATCAGCGCACCAAGTAACAAAGTCGCCAGTGCCGGTAACGGCGATATCGAACCAGATCTGATACCAAATTGCAAGGATTATGAGTGAGAGCGATAGACAGAAATTGTTACATCTTCGACGCCACACAGGTCCTACCGGACCCGACGTAGGGGTAGAGGGACACAGTAGGGCCAAAGGCCCGACCTTGGGGGGTACTACAGGCCGTAAAGGCCTTACCTTGGACCAGACCCGACGGGCCGGCCCAAACGATATTACCGTTTGGGCCTGGCGGCGCTCTTGAGGCTGCCGCCCGCCGGTTGGGGCTGAACCGTCCATCTGGACGGTTCAGGGCACGGTCAGGCCTCGCAGCATAGAGGCCGACCTCTGCCCACCGGTACAAAAGTACCGGTCCAGCCTCAGTGAGGCTATCGACCTACCGGCATTCTACCGGTACGGTATGGTACAGCGCGATACAGCGCTGGCGCTCAGTTTAGCGCAGGAGCAGCGAGGAGCAGCAGCGCAGCATTAGCGCAGCAGCAGCAAGCGAGCAGCAGCAGCGGCGACTGGGTGTACCGGCGGCCATCGCCGCCTGAGGTATCGGGAGTTGGAGGCCTCTCTCCTCCCTCCCCTCGCCAGTTCCCTCTCTCTCTCTCTCTCTCCTCCTCGGCTCCTTTCTTCTTCTTCTTCTTCTTCTTCTTCTTCTTCTTCTTCTTCTTCTTCTTCAGATTGGAGACATATACTAGTTGGACAGAGATC